CCTCTACCGCCAGATACACCATCACCAACAACTACACAAAACACTGCTCCATCACCGCACACAACCACTGGTGCACCGCACACACCACCATATCACACCCACTGGTCAACAGCATCGCACCCAACCACCCATCGCACACCACCGCACCAACAAAAACCCCCCCAACCGCTCACACACCACCGTACCAACGAAAACCCCCAACCGCAAAAATCATCAACAAAAAATACACCCAAACTCCGGTAACGCAGCAGATCAGAAAAACCACCACACAATATTGCGGCGACTGCGACACAACGTCCTGACCAAAGTAGATCTGGTTTTGAGATATAGTGGTGGAGGGTTTTTGAGACACCACCACAGCACCCAACCGCCGACGAGAGAGAGTCCGGTGGTGACGGTTGCGAGACTGCACCCAACTGCCGATGAGAGAGTTCCTAGGGGGAAATGGGAAATGACGTGGAGTGATGTGGTGGAGGGGGGTAAGGCTGATTTATAAATTAATTTAATTTTATAATATATTAATTAATAAAAGTTCTGATTTTTTAAAAAACAAACATTACACCTGATTTTTGAAGTTAGATTTTGAAAGATAGGGATGAGTGTAATTTCCACTTTTCTTATTTCCGCACGTTTGATTTGGGCTTTTGGGGGCTAATTTAGGCCATTTAGTTGGCCCATTTTATGACTTCAATGTTACCTTCTTTTATTATTTTAAGCATTGGGTTGGGAATTTTTGCATAAACAAAGTGCCAGCATGAGGAAAAAATTAAGGGAGTGGCTCAAAGTTCAGTGCAGGCATCCGCTTGCATTGAACTCTATTGGACTCCATCACATTGGAACTGTCCTGAGCCACATGAGGATATTATCTAGTGAACGACTTCGACGCAACCTTCTATTTTCTGGATTTCCTTCTCATTATTACAAACATTGTGCCCACTCAAAATCGGTTTCCTCTCACATCCCGTTATAAGCCCCAAATATCATATCCAAATTCTACTAGCAAAGTGCTAACCTGTCCTCAACCACATAAAGAGTGACTTAGACAAGAGTCACAAAACTATCTAGATTCTCTAGACAAACAAGATACAAACCATAATTCCCGTTGGGCTAGTGTGATCCGGCTGTATAGTATGACATTCTATTTGCCGCTAGACTTAAATATTTGTCATTTGCTATTTCTCAAGTGGAAAGACCGTCTTTCAAAGACGTGACATTGAAATAATTTGTGATATAATAAGAAACAATATTTTCATTTAGAAGAACAAGCTACAACTAACTCTCTAAAACATAGTTACTAAAATTGGGCCGAATCGGCTGGTTTGGCCCGAAAAACAGTGGACAGTACGATTTTGAGCTATTTGGTCAATTTACAATGGAATCGGACAAGAACCACCCAAACATGTTCATATTTGAACTAAACCAAGTGGGTTTAGTTGAAACGAAAATCAGTTCAATATGAACCAGTTTTTATTAAATTGGTAAGTGAAAAAAATTAATATCAAAGTTGCACCAAAAAAAAAAATATATTTTTTTTGTTTTTGATTTAAGTTTTTTAATTATTATGGGAAAAACATTAAGATGTCATTTTGCCCTCCCTTGTTTGATAAAAAGTAGTCAATTTTTTTATTTTGGTGGTCAACTGACGGCATTTTGAATGAAAACTGTCCAAAAGGGTCTCACCCACAACGGCTGGAAATGTTAGTGTTTATAGCAACAAATGAAATGATTAGAGAAAGTACGTAAGTGTTTCAAAGGTTTGGGGCTTTTGTTGAAATTATCCCTTAAATCAAATAGCCTATGCTTGGGAAATGTTATTAGTTCCTAAAAAGTTACTTATATTATCAAATTTTATAAATTGATAATAACTGAATTCTATAAATTGTATGACATTCTATTTGTCAAATTTTATTTTTAATCACCCATTTAAAATTACTATTCATTATTACCCATATATTTCCTAATCCCTTCCTTAAAAAGTTATTAATTTATTACTATTCACTGTATCGCCTAAGGTCTAAGCTCGTGAAAAATTACACCTGATGGTCAAAATTGCAATTTATTATGCACGCAAGCACAAATAGGACGGTAAATGAATCAGATATGAATCGAATATGCTTATATCCAATTAGATCCGATAAGAATAATTATTCGATCCGATAATCAAACATATATTTAATTGTTAAATTCATATTCGTTTTGTTATGTTATCGGATATCCGATCCGATAATCCGAGAAATTAGGAAACAAAATAATGTTGGAATCAATTTATTTATTTATTTTTTTTCAACTCTTAAACGGGTTTAATAATTATAAAATTTTCAACTTTTTTATGTTTTGAATTTGATGATTTTTTTATTCTAAATTTTTTTTATTTTCTCATTTTTTTATTTTATTCACAAATAATATGTCATAAAAATATTTTACTGACTAAATTATTTTTAACAAATCAGATCGAATTGTTATCGGATCGGATTGACATATATTCATATTTAATCCATTTAATTATTGGATTATCGGATTCAGATCTTGATTAGATTTTCGAACTAAAACCCTGAATTCATCTTTCATTAATTTCATCGAATTCAGATCGAATTCTATTATTCTAATCTACTTACAGGCCTGACTCAACCTTATAAATGCATAGATCCTACATGCAGCCTCGTAACTGAAACCCCAAATACAAGAGACGAAGAAAAAGAAATTTCAAACGGGATTAAAGATTCAAGAAAGTAAAAATGATTGAACAAATTGAGAAACCAATCACCACCAAAGAGGATGCGGAGAAATCATTAACAATTAACAAAATTGACGACGGAGTAGGAGAGGAATCGGAGCTAGATGAAGGAAAAATCTTGGGTGTGGAGGACTCAGACGATCCGGCGTCGGATCCCATGAAAACTCCGTATTCAAAGCACCCGTTGGAGTACTCGTGGACATTCTGGTTCGATAACCCCTCCGTCAAATACAAACAGACCGCTTGGGGCAGCAACATTCGACCCGTCCACACTGTCTCCTCCGTGGAAGACTTCTGGAGGTACCTTCTATCCCTACATTTTCCCCTAAATCATGGGTTCATTTTTGTGTATATTTGTGAGGGCTTTCACTTTCTTGGATATAATTTCATTTACACGCCTTGAGTATATTGGTATTTCGCTATTTGATTGTTGAAATGGTTTTTAAAGTCTGTGGGTCACTACTATTTTACTTTCCTTGGAAAACTAAGAAGGGGGAAGATTCGATTTCTTGTATATCTGTAATCTAATATGCGTTTGATGGGCAGTTGATCTTGCCTATCAAAGTTTATGTCTATACAAGTTTTTCCGTGTTTATATCTTGTTACTCCATTTTCTTGAAGTTCTCGTACTTATTTTTATATCCATGGGAAATCATAGTGTGTGAAGAAAATCAAGTGAATTAGGACTTCTCTGCGACATTGATTCTTTGAAGTGCTGTTGTTAAGCTTGTCTTTGATCATGGATTCACGGAAAAATGTGATATTTTCTTTGTTGCTCAATTATTATTTTCCATGACATTTTATGCTCTTGATTCACGACTTCTTTCAGATTGATTCCACAGATAGCACATTTCTGTTACCGTCACCTATATATACTATGATACTCCACTAACCATTTGCTCGGCTTGGCTTGCAGTGTTTACAATAATGTACACCGGCCAAGCAAGTTGGTAGTTGGAGCAGACTTTCATTGTTTCAAAAATAAAATTGAGCCAAAATGGGAAGATCCTGTTTGTGCCAATGGGGGAAAGTGGACTGTGTGTTTTGCTCGGGGCAAATCTGATGTTTCTTGGCTCTATACGGTATGTATAGTTTAGACTCTGTTCTATTTAACATGGTGTTTCTTTGATTTTATGGTTCTGCTTCTTCTAATTCACAAATGAATTCCATTTTAGCTACTGGCAATGATTGGAGAACAATTTGATTGTGGAGATGAAATATGTGGGGCAGTTGTCAATGTCAGAGCTAGGCAGGAAAAAATTGCTATCTGGACCAAGAATGCTGCAAATGAAGCGGCTCAGGTAATTTGGTTTGACACAATAACTTAATATGTTTTCAATCTTTTACTGAAAAAGGCCAAAGCAATCCCTTGAGAGAGGAATTGTGGATTCAGCTGAGAGCTGAGGTGATGAACGGCCCTCCCACCAATTTGTAACACGGAATCTTCTTCGACATATAACAAATTTTAAAAATGAAATTCCACTCTCTCTAAATTCTTGACATGACTCCCTTACTTGGGTGAAATTGATTTTGTGGATAAATAAACTTACGAGTAGATGTATTTATCCATGAATAACCCTTTTTGTTAAGTTGTAAAAAATTCAAAGGGGAGCAACGGTCTAACAGTTGAATGGCATCCACTATCATAAGTGTTTTGGTACCATGGATGAATTACATGAAAGTACCTGCATTAGGGAAAGCATTTTCAGTTCCAAAAAATACTATTGTGAGAAATCCTTGTAGACTTATAATTTCAAGTGTTCTTGTTTTTGTCATGGAGAGATTGATGTTTTAAAATAAGGTTTGTCAGGCTTTAAGCTGATTGTTGAGAGACAATAGGCATTCCAGACTTTAAAACTGGTGAGAGTGTAAAGTCGATATTTTATGCATGTAATCGAGTTTGTTTCCTTACCGAAGCTATTGGTATAGGTACCTATTGTTTTGCCTTTTCACATTTGTGTTTATGAAAGTTTTGATTTCTGATGCCTTAATCTGTTGTGTGCCTTGTGAAATTTACTGGTTTTGCAGCTGAGAATTGGAAGACAGTGGAAGGAGTTTCTAGAATACAATGACACAATTGGGTTCATATTTCATGTAACTATTCTGTTTTTCCTGAGAATTATTTTTCTGTAGAAACATGCATTGAAGTTGTATCTTTCCCCATGGTGGTCAGTGACTGACCAGTTCTTATATTGCAGGAAGACGCGATTAAGGAAAGAGTTGCAAAGAATCGTTACACTCTGTAGCTGTATCACGGTCCGGGATCAAGAGGATGAACTAGGTGGCTCTCACATTTGTCGTAGACTAGTGGCTTGCCTTTTTTCATTCTTCTTGTTTTGTTATTGCTATCATGAAGTTTCTGCTGGAATTCGATATCTACCATACAACATACATAATAAACAACCTCGTTTTAATACATTTTCTAGGACTCCATTGATTGAGAAGGAGATCCATTGATTGAGATGGAGATTTTTAATAAGCTTGTTGTGGTTTACGTCTGTATTCAATCTCTCCCTCGCCGTCCTATGGCCCTTGGTTAGAAAGTGATTTCTTCTAGAATTGACAATCTTTCACCATAGTGCAAAAGCACTTGACAGCAGGCAGTGTTGTCTACACGAACGAAACTTTTTATTTTGATCCTAAACATGTTTGGATGTTGTTCTGTTAAGCTTATGGAGATAAGATACTAAAATGAACAAAAAAAACCGTCGGTTTTATGTTTGGGCAATGAAAAAAATAAAATTAATTTAGATGTACATTCCTAGATAACATTGTTGTTAACATTGTGTGAGTTGTCAAAATATATGCCATTTATTGTTTAAAGCGTTATTAAAATCAATGTATAAAAAACTCTCAACTCACATGAATGTATTCATGATGTCAAAGTTAATGTACATGTAGCAAGACTGATTAAAAAAGGAGTAATGCTATTCGTCTAGACTGGAGATGATCACAAGAAAAAAAATTGTTCTATGTGAATTTAACATATATTGGAGAGGATTGTAGTCCAATATTTTAAGCGAATCATGCGATGCTGACCTAATCTTTGATACAATGATTGACACAAAGCCAAATAACACTTCATCATTGAATGGTTTTGAACATAAACATATTTTTCATTAAATCACATCTTGTCAACTAACATTAGTCACTCTACCTGTCAACCACTTTCTGGCAACATAACCCATTTTTAAGTAGAGGAAGTGACCGTTTGAGCCAACAAAGTATATTATACCTTGAGACATTCAATTTATTAGTTATTTAATGTAATTTTCCATTTTATACTTCGGTAAATTCGAAAGGAAAAAATTTAGTACTGAAAATTATTCGACCGTCTTCAATAAAAGTTCCCCGAAAACATACCAAAGGAAGAGAACTGCTCATGCAATACTTGTTATATATTTATACAATAAATATAATATGTGAAATAAATAATTAATTAAGATGAAGTGCCAAACTGGTGAAAAGTGTGAAATTTGTGTGGGAGGTCAGGTGTTCGAGCCACGCCTCACGCACTATATTAAAAGTCTTGGGTTTTATTGATTCTAATAAAATAATTATTATTTTTTAAATTATTTTCGAAATTATTTATTGGGTCAACTAG